CGCACTATAGGCACTTCGCCCGCCTTGTTCACCCATCTTCTTTAAAAATATTTTCTATGCTCCTGCCTCCTGCACATTTCGCAGACAAGACAGTGTTTGCATGAGTATTAAAAGACGTCAACACTTCTTTAAAATCCAGGATATAGTCTTATGGGGCTTTGCTGGTGATATATATATATATATATATATATATATATATATATATATATATATATATATATATATATATATATATATATATATATATATATATATATATGTGTGTGTGTGTGTGTGTGTGTGTGTGTGTGTGTGTGTGTGTGAGAGAGGGTGTGTGTGAGGGTGTGTGTGTGTGGGTGTGTGTGTGTGTGTAAAAGGCATGCAAACTATTTGCATGGGTATAATGAGCAATAAGCATTAAACCAAAATAGTGAAATCCATGACCCTTGGTAGAAGTGTCTGACATCAGAGAAGGACCAAGTTGGTTTAACATTGAAAAATGTTACACATTTAAAGATCTTTCTTCCTGGATATCTAACTATAATCTTAAAATCATTTGATGAGAAATTAGCCCGATACCAAATTGTGAAATTCATGTCCCGAGGGTCAATATTTCAGCCCCCAGGGCGGGCTAAATTAGTCATATATTGAAAAAAGGCAAAATAACGCATTTTTCACGAAATTTGGCCTCTTGGGCTCGGGTTGGCCACAATAAGGGATCCATATTTAACGTTGAAATGCATAGGTAAAAAATCTGTTATATGCTTCTCAAGAACAGAAGGTTCAACATGGAATTAGGTATCCCCATATTATATAGATGCATAGTTCTCCAAATCATCGTCCTTTTGGCAGGGATTGTTCCAGGATTTGGTAACAATTTTATTCAAGAACGTATTTTAATTCCCATCTGGACTGTAAACAGTGAAACTGTTAACACGACTATTATCTCTACCAAAACTTTGAAATTCATTGGCCATGGGTTCAGGTTCCAGGATGGGGCTAAGTTGACCATATTTATGAAAACGCATAATATCTTATCAATATTTTTCTTTACTCCTGGACAACAATAAGCAATGATCCCTTTACCCAAACTGTAAAATTTATCGCCTCTGGGATAAGGGTGCAGAAAGTGGGCTAAGTTGGTCGTGTTTATGAATATGGAACAATGATCAATCTTTAATTCTGCATACAATTTGAATCGAGAGCAGGGCAAACTTACTGACCCCTGGAAATATCAGTGATGGGATCAGGTACCTAGGAGGAGACCGGTTTCACATGGAGTCGATAATATCTCAGTAATTTATTTTTTCAATAAACTTTCAGAGAACACCTTTATTACGAAATGTTATTATGCCATCAAGCCCAAATAAGCAATATAAATGGAGAACAGAGCTAGCTAAAAGCTTCAGAGTTGGGAACAAATGCCATGGAGGAGTAACCATCCCATTTCAACTGATCACATCCGCTATAAGCGCTTTGTCTTGATCGGGTTAACATAGTAGTTCATAAACAGTTCAGCATAAAAATAATGGCTTAACAATTTATGTTAAATAAGTCGGTCAACATTCGAGCTAACAACAGACTGTATTTGCAAACAAGACCATTGTTTGGACCAAAGAATTGCTGTCTTAAAACGAGATTGCTCATACCCTTGTAACATCAACTTATTTGTCAGAAGTCTGCCTTGGTTTAGAAGTTATATGATGAAATCAGCTGAGACATTTACACAATATGCAGATGATGATGGTATATAAATAAGGGAATTGGAAGTTGACAATATCGACGATATAAAAGTTGAAGTCATCACGATATCATAAAGTTTGCTTGTTAGTTTACCATTAACGTCTTTCTGTTTTTCTTTTCTAATAAAACGTCTAAATATGAAACAGAGGTGTTAGACTTCAGACTCTTGTGTTTTTTATTTCAAGTAAAGTAAGATATATATCGAATCAACGTGTGAATGAAAATAAATATTGAAAACTGTAATATTGAAAAGCTGTAGCACAGCATGAAACTTCTTCATTTTATGCAGAAGTTTTTGAATAAATTCTGTTTCAAAAGGTCTGCTTATAGTACCAAGTGCAATAAGTACCACAGGGAATTCCCACTCATCTTTTTTTATGTCAACTTCAGAGTACTTGTGTTTAGAATCGGAAAGATTTTGTAATGTAGTTAACCAATCGCAAGATATTTACATTTTTATCGAAGAAGCTGTGTGAAATATATGGAGATAACGAACAGTATTCAAGTCCATTCAAGTCCATTAAACAATACAAAATAGGAGCAGAGCAAACACGTACGGACGTCCAAAACATCAGAGGTGGGATCAGGTGCCATGGAGGAGTGAGCATCCCCTGCCGACCGGTCACACCCGCCGTGTGTCTATGACATGAAAAAGGATGGTCTTTAAATTATTTTAGAGAATGGTTGTATAAAGTGTTGAAAACTCATGATTTGATGCTATTGATTTTGTTACTTTAAATTTTCTAAAAGTTCTTTGTTTTAGGTATCTCAATTTCTGGAATATGTTGTTGTGCAATACTGCTGAAGTTTATCCTTCAATACCGTTAACATTTTCATGAGTAGTAAAGAAAATCCTTTCAGGACTTTGCCTCTTTAAAGCGCTTAACAAATGAACATATCCATCTCCTGTTGTTACCTGTAAATAACCAGGTGTGTTTAATCATGTAACCTGTAAATAACCAGGTATGTTTAATCATGTACACACAACACACTTAAAAATCTGTCTGATTTATTCAAGTTTAGTGTATCCAATGATGCTGTAGTATATAGTTTGTTGACAGAAGGGTTAAAATTATGATTCCTCGTATTAAATTCCTCAGAGTGCTATATACTAGCTAGTAACTATGTGTTTAACGACAACTAGACTGTAAGTGTTCTATTCACTTTCTTTATTAGTTTTCTTTTCTTGAAAAATTCACATTTATATGACATTTATTGCCCCCCTCCCCCCCCCCCGAAAAAAGAAAACTTGCCTTGTCTATAAAACACGAAGTTGTCATATGCGCGCAAAAAGGACACTTGACACGAATCAACTGTGAAAATCTGCTACACTGTAAAGGGAGATATAAACAATATTGTTCAGGAGGGGCCAAATCGAAGTTATGCTTTGTATTTAGTTGAATCAACTATTATATTTGATAGATAATAAAATCTGTCTTGTTCTGAGAAATGATGTAAATGTTATATTGGATAAAAACAGATGAACTAATAAAATAATACTATGATGAATTAGGCGGTAAATCACTATTAATAAATATCACAAAGCTTTAAATGTTTCTGAAGTATTTTTCGCAACTTACGCCCATACAACTGTCACGATCGAGTTTTAGGTGGGATACAAAGTTTCCTAACCCACTAAGAGCAGCTTAAAAGATTTTTTTAGCTATTAGTAATAGTTTACGTTAGGTGCAAGTAAAAAAAAAAATCTTATCACCTAGCGAGAGCGTCTTTTCTTCTTTTTTTTAATTCTCTGAAAAATGTTTTAACATTAGCCCTTTCTGTAAATTGCTAAACAACAAGCATTATTTAACAATGGCTATAGTAGCAAATTATTATGAAATTAGATATTTGCACGCACGATTAAGTAAGCTTAAGGTATGTCACTCGGTAGCTTTTTAGAAAAGTTCAGTCAGAACCTTTAACTTCTAAACTTTTATTATAATTCAATTTTTATAACATATTTGAATTAAACAATGCAAATTATTCAGCATTCAATTTAAATACTGCTCACAAATTCATAAAGAAGCAAGATTTATGAGGGACTATTTCTTGTTATGGAAGGATATTTTGAAGAAAATTCTTCAAATCTAAACATTTGTTAAATTTAATATCTTGGAACTTTAGTCCCACATATTTTTACTTACAGAATATTTTCCGTTATGATATGCTAGGCTTATTGAAAATAGGTCTCAATTTATATTTTTAGAACAAATTTTACACATTCAATCAACAGACTTTGCCAAGAAATGAAGATATGTTAAAGAAGTCAAGATAAAATTTACACCGTTTTTTGCCTGAAAATCGCACATTTTGACCAATATCTCAAAATTTACATCTTTGACCCAAACTTTTTCTTTCATTATTTTAAACAACACGATACTTCCAACTGATCAGCACTTAAGTCATATAAGTTTGATACAAGAAAATATTTTATTGCATATTAAGATTTTTATAACCCAAATATGATACTTTTTTTTTTAGTGCAAATAGGTCACACAATAATTTATGTGCATTAATTTGCAATGAAAAATATTATTCAAACTATTTTACGTAAAATAAGATTATATTTATCGCCATAATTGCATCTGCTAAAATATGATAAAGATTAAAGTGATTAACCAAAGAGTAACAATTTAAGTGCAAAAAGGTCAACTTGATTGTATCGTAGATCAGTTTGACACACTGACCCCCCCCCCCCCCCCAATTTTCTTTTCGATTTTGAGTCATGCTATATGAGCGCTTACCTAAATTATACTTCTCAAAAAATACTTGTTATATCTAATTTCACGAGTGACATACCTTAATGAAGATAATAAACAATTAATCATTGGAAACGTGGGATAATTTATGCATAACCGGCTTCGCCCGTTATGCACATAATCCCACGTTTCCAACTATCGTTGATGCCCTGGCATACCCAACAAACTAGAAAGTGATTCTTAATTGTATGCAAGGATGTTGCTAGAGAAAGGTAAAAGAGGTCAATTCAGGACATTGTTCAAGAGATATAAAACATATATACGGAAGTAATTTGAATTGTAGAATCCAAATTGATAAATATGATGCAGAATTTAAGAAATATAGGTCCAGACAAAAGCTGCTCAAAAGCTCAGGGTCGAATCTCCTTATAACAGTGGTTTGGTGTAAGGAATGCGACTTCAGGAACAACATTAAGAAGGTTACATGATTATGTACTATTTAATGACAAACAAAATAAGGACATTATTTCACATTATTAAATGGATAGTGTTTTGTCAAATACATTTTGTTAACTCTAATAAATAATTTCAATCACATCACATCTCTTTAAATAGCGTTTAAAAGTATGAGATTCAACGAAAAGCTTTAAGCCGAACAAAAAGTATTCACGAAGATCCTAGCTCGAGTAAACATCAGACACCTTCATCCAAATTCCTTTTTCAATGTGTAGTAAAAACAAGATGAAATGATGGCTCCGAAAATCTGTTAAAGAAAGGTTTTCAAAATTATACACATTATTGTATTTCAGACAACGAAAATCGACGACAGGGAATTCATTAATATCTTTAAAATAAAAGATATACACATTTGATATATAATTTCCTTACAAAGTGTGATAAAAGCTACAGTATCTATAATATCAAAATACAGACGCGGAGGTCTAAAAGTTTACTAATGATCTCAAACGTTAAGCGCTTTATAAAAACAAACAAACAAACAAACATACAAACAAAAAAAAAAACCAAACAAAAAACAGAAACAAAATTCACGCTGACGTTGAACAGTAAAGGCCGCTCCCTCGAATTAGATATACAATTGCGATTTGTGTCATTTAAACAGGCATAATACATTGAAAGAAACGATATTTATCAATCTACCATGATATTCTTGAATGTAAATATAAGTATACTGAATTGTAAATTTTAGAAGTTCATCGTGTCATAACAGGAAGGCTGCGCAGACAATTTTTTATAACACGCTAACTCGTATTATTGGTTTGTTAGTACACTTGCCCTGTTATTACACAGTGAACATCCAACATGTTTTATACGATTTACCTTTACTCATCATACGACAACTAAATCTCAATATTAAATCACACATTGAAATTCATATTGAAAAAAGAAAAGTTTGTGTAATCAGTGTTTATATTATCTTTTCTCTTGTATTTTGATTGTACTGTAAATAAGCATGAATATAATCAGCTAAAATATGGATAAATTCTTGGGGGGGGGGGGGGCACAAAACAAGAAACTGATTGACTAGACTTACTTGAGCAATTGAGAACGAAAAGCCTCCCCAACCTATGATTAATAAATTATCTTTAGCCCAGGCCTCAAGTGCTTCACTGCATCCCTGTGAGGTAGAATGTATAATTTACAACCAGTGTCTTAAAGATATAGATATTTCCTTCATCCAAGACAGAAGTCTTTTAAAAATACAGAGGTATGAAAGCGTAAATATAAAGATGACGACTTACATCAGTGTATATCATATTGGAAGTGTTCGATAAATTGTGCTGGTCGACTAACATCTTAAAGCATGTGCTTGGTATATGAGTGGCAGACCAGTCTGTGTAATTGTAACACCCACAACACTCCATCTGAAACAAAAGCTGAGAATTAAAAGCAAAATAAGTAGTAAATAGTGGAAAATTAAGCCGACCTGGATAATATCCTGTCGTCGAGAAGAACCCCCATAGATCCCCACAGCTCTGTTTGTCTATCCGGTCTTGTTATAAGATCTCAACCTGCTCTTAGATACAGCACAAACCTTTACAAAAGGACTAATCCTAACGTTTTAGATTTGCAGTAAGCGTTTAGTATTTGGAATCATATACCCAAATATTCAGGTTTATCGTTGATAGCCAGATACTTACGTGGGTTTTATGTATTCTAATACAGTTCAGTTTGTAGAAAAGTAGAAAGGCGTTGTTTATTATTACAATTGACTTACATTTTAATTGAGGAACCAGGTGAAAGTGTATCTGTTTCGTTGCAAGTCTGTATTAAAAAGCTACAAATGTTTGCTCGTAGGTTCCCATCAAGAATAGTAGAATCTAGTTTGTATGAAAGTTTGTGGAAAATAATTCATTATCTGGAAATATCTTTGTTTCTATTTTTATGTGTCCTTTTAAGTCACATGGTACTACAGTATAAAAGACAGAGATGTAACAAAAAGAATTGGATTAAGCCATAGAGTTCAAACTAATTACCACAGGGCAAAATTATACTGCAGATAATATCTTTCTCTTTTATGCGTGTGATGTATTAAGAGGCACCACTTATGCATTAAAAATAACTCCATTTTTCCTCTCACTCGCTCACAAAGCGTGCTACGTACCGATTGACATTATGAATATTGTGAAAGTTAGAAGTCCCAGAGGTGCAAAGATTGCATGATTGCAATTATAGCATATTTGTTTTCAGAGTGTGATGGGTAATATGCACGTCTATATACGCCTGTGTACTAATTTTCTTTCATGTTATTAATTGGAGGTAATAAGGTTCTAATCTTGATTTAAGGAACTATTGATTTTCTATTTTGTTGTGATTTTCTGTATTTTTACACTTTTTGACAATAAATATAGCCATATTTGTCTTTCTGCTTATAAAGAAATCAGTGATATTCAAAGAAATGTATTAAATAACAAACAGTCGGTAGGGCTATTATATCGGCTTATCTAGAACTTATCACTCCCAAATTCAAAAAAAAAAAAAAACAAAAAAAAAAAAGTATGGACAAAGAACGAAACAAGAGCTGGTATTTTTGGTTTCTGCTTGTCACCAAAACTTCTGAGATCCTGAATTGTCTTCAATTAAAAAAAGCTGCTGGTGATTTCTAAAAAAAAAATAATAATGAAAAATTAATTACTAGTATTCAAATGAAATGTCCTGATGTCCCCAGAGAGTAGTGAATAAAGGTCGATAATGATGCATGTGTATGACGCAGGTTTGAAACAATGCCGACATTGTCGTTTCACATTAAGCGTGGACACTGGGTCGCAGTAGGACAATGCCCTAATTAACACACACAAAGGTGCCAGTGCTGAAAGACGTGTATGTTGACACACTGTTGTTTGCAGTGAGTACAATTTTTGACAGAGTCGTGCTTTTAATAAATGTCAACAAGATACATAAATGAAACAATGAAATTAGCAATGGGATTTACTTAAATGAATCAGAATCATTTTGAGATGCAATTTATTTAAGAAGGCCAAGGCGAACAGAACTTTCAAATAAGGAGGTATACGCGCGTATTAAAAACAAGTGAGTAGAATACAGTTTAGTAAAGATATCACGATATGGGATCCTTTTCCGATATCAGAGTACGTGCAACTATTGATGTTAAAAAAAGTAAAGGCAAACTTTTAAAATAAAAAAAAAACAGTTTGATGAACAAATCAATTCATAAATTTATTTAATATTTTGTCTGCTTTAAAGTACCTATAAATGAATTACATCAACTTAATTCTTCATACCATGAGCTTTTGGAATTTTATCATATGAATAACCCACTCTTGGATAAGTAAATGTTCGACATTGCAAGAAGAAATACCCAATTAAAGACTGTGGTCATTCAATGGAAACCTTTTAAAACACATACAATCCCCCCTAAACATTTGATAAAAAAAACTACTGAGAATTATGTTTGATTTCTGATACACGATGCACAGTTTTGAAATGTTATCAAATTCAAAGCGATATTAACTGCAATTTTGCATCATTTCATGATCATGTGTTTTTCAAAAAAAAAAAAAAAAAAACAACAAACAAACAAACTTTTCCATTGAATGATATAGGATCAGTCACATCCATGAGATCCCTTTTTTTCTTGATCGGGAAAGCGAAATAATTTATAGACAACTTACTATGAAAATAATGGCTTTATTATAACGTGTGTCAACAGGAGACTAACCACTGTATCGACCGATGTATCAGCGAAATGATGACCTTAATGAAAAAGATACCGAACTGTAATCGATCTCCGAAAAAACCTACAAACAATACAAATCTGTGCACAGGGGATAAAACATGGACCCCCCGGAAATTCCAGAGGAGAGATCATGTGTCTCGGAGGAGTAATCATCCCCGGTTGACCATTCATTCCCGCCCTGAGCCCTCTGTATTGATCAGGTAGACGAAATTATCGGTAATCAAATTCAGTATAAAAACAAAGGCCCAACAAAATATGAAGTATTTTAGTCAAAATACGATCCAGGTTGTTTTGCTAAAAAGGTCATTATAACGACCATGGAATTTACGGAATGCTGGCTTTAAACGAGGTTGTTGAAATCCCTGTAACATCAACTTATGTGTCATTATCCTGTCTCTGTTTAGAAATTGATCGTATTCAGAGCATGCTATTGTATTGAATAGATTACAAGACAAAAATAGCATATGCAGGTGATAATGAATATTACTACGTAAGCAAGGAAAGTTGATTGAAATGGAATGAAAGTTAAAGATGTGAGATGTGCGATACCCTTTTATTATTTACTTATTTGTAAGTAGGCTGCCTCACTTAATAGATAAATTAGGCAAAACCTTCTCTTGCGAAATCAATCAACAGGGAGACAAACTCTATATGCTTGTGATAATGGTTTATTTTTACATAAATATGGGAAGTTGACGATAGAAAATTTGAAGTCATCTTATTTATGATAAAATTTAGTTGTAGTCCAATGTCTTTCTGTAGTAAAACATCAAAATATGAAAGAGATGTGTCAGACTCTGTGAAGTCTTTAATTTCGATTTCTATTTGAATATATCGAATCAAAGCATAAATGAAAATGAATCTTTTTAATTGAAAATGAATTCTTGATATTTTGAAAGCCTAAGCAAGAAACATGATTACATCTAGATAATTTTCTTAATTTTTTTTGAAAAATTCTGCTTCGTAAGAATATAAAACAGGTCGGCTTACAAAGAGGCACATTTAATATCCATTGCACTTCCAACAGATTTCTGGAAAACCTGGTCTCCTAAGACTAAATATATCTCGATATACGTGGTAATTTTATAAGAAAGTACGATGGCTGATATGATTTAAATCAATATCACTATGTAATATTAAAGGATCAATAGCTTGGATAAAAATACTTGTTTATCAATTGTCTGTAGCTTTCATTAACTTGATATTGAATTCTACCAATCATACGTGTGTCTCGTCAGATTGAGCTACATTCTTGACGAATCAGAGAAGGACTTCCGGTCTATTGATATTCCGGTGAAACAGAGATGTTCTATTGATATACCGTTGAAACAGACCAAATGTAAGGTAAAGGTCAATTAAGATTAAAGAAAGTAAGTCGCTGCGTCGTCTTGTTTCATGGTGTGTTATCGCATGTTTATATGTAATGGGCGATTCTCCCTCTTTCTGAACAGATTCTGTGTATCGTGTTTGGAGCTCGAGAGATTATAGCACTCACTGTTAGGCGGGTTAAAATTCGTGTAGTAATCCTATACATTGATTAGAATATCCAAATACTCCAGTCTTAGGGTACCAAAGTAACTTTTTTGACTAATGTTTGTATATTTTTAAAAGTTTTGTATTGTTTTGCTTCCCATTAATATCAAAATCGACCACTGGAAATATAGAAATGAAGAACTGCATTAAAAGGGTATGATGAATTATAAATTTAAGATAATTTTCTCCATCTCTAGGGACTATAAACAAGAGCATTAAAAATTTAAAACAAAATACAGAAAATACTTTTTTTTCTTTTGTATGCGTTAGATCACAAAAACATATCTTGAAATTGATAAAATGTTTTATGATCAATGATTTTAAAAATTCATGTCTCATTGAAAGTAAATGCTAGAGTAAATTGGCTCTGAAAGAGAAAATACCGTTCTTTACAAAGCTTTTATTCAGGAAACAAATCGTAATAGGAGTTGAGGACTTTATAATCAAATATTGAAATAAAAGATCAGTTTTGTCTGCTTTTCATCTAACAAGTTTTGTCTGCTTTTTATCTAAGAGCTTTAGCAAGTATGCATAACTAAATTAATTGATGAGAAACTTAGTTGCATGCCATTGTTAGAGGCCTATAAAGCTAGCCAAAAATGTTTATGTTTTAGTATGCTCGTATAATGGAAGGGTACTGTCAAACTTTGAATCTTGGGTCTACTTTTAATAAGTATGAAAGAATGCTTCAAACTAAAATGGTTTTTATTTGACTGAAAACTAAAACACACAGAAAATCACTTGTTGATTCAAAGGTGGGGAAAAAAGATATATAATTAATCATTAATTAAAGATAAATCGTGCAAAAGGTTGCCGAATACATACCTCTTTTTGGAGATTATCTAAATTTTCACGAACTGAAGAATCAAGGTAGTAGTCTTGTACGAATTTCAATAATCTACCAGATAAATATTGTGGCATCTACAATGAAATATGGAGATAGCGAACAGTATTCAAGCTCTCAAAAGTCTGTTTAACAATACAAATCGGGAGCAGGGCAAACACGGACCTCTAAAAAACATCAAAGGTGGGATCAGGTGCCATGGAAAGTAAGCATCCCCTGTCGACCGATTCCACTCGCCGTGTGCTAATTGTCAAAATCGGGCAAACGGAAAAATCCGACGACAATTCAGTATTTAAATAATGGACTAACAATAAGTATAAAAGACGTCAGTCAGACTTTGTTTAGTGATAGATTGTATTTGCTGACAAAGTCATTGTATCGAGCACTGAACTTGCGAAATTATAACTCTAAACGAGACTGTTGATATTCTTATTTAATAAACTTGTTTGTTTGTTTGTTTATTGTTGTTTAACGTCCCTCTCGAGAATTTTTCACTCATATGGAGACGCTACCACTTGCCGGCGGAGAGCTGCAAATTTTGACCTATACTCAGCATTCAGGGTCATTGAGCAGTGAGGGATCTTTTTTCGTGCCAGCACCTACTGCGACACGGGACTTCGGTTTATACGGCCTCATCCGAAGGACCGGTCTCCACGTCCCACAGTGGGATTCGAACCCATGACGTAAGAATCTTCTTACTCCTCGACTCTAGAGCAAACGCTCTAACCACTGTGCCACGCGGGCGACTAATAAACTTGTTTGACAATAACTTGCCTCATTTGAGAAATTTTCGTACGTGGAGCATGCTCTTGCATATTGAACCAACTGGGAGATATAAGCTCTATATGCAGGTGATAAGGGCGCATTGCTACAAAAGTAAGGGAAGTTGACGATAGAAAAGTTGAAGTCATCACCTTTATCATAAGGTTTTGTTGTTAGGTTACCATTAACTCTTTCTCTAGAAAAATATCCAAGTATGAAACAGATGTGCCTGGCTCTATGGTATCTTTTATTTTCAAGTTCACTGAGATAGATCCAGTCGATAAATTAATGGAAGTAACTACTGTTAATTGATAATACGTAGTCGATATATCTAAATGTCGAGTTGAAGGCCACAACAAGTGTCTTCTTCTTCTCATGTATAAGATTTTGAATAAATTCTGCTTCATATGAATACAAAAATAGGTTTGATAATAATCGGGCGCAATTAGTATCTATGGGAATTACGACAGATTGATGGGAGAAACCAGTCCTGGTCTCCAAAAAATTAGATATTGTCAATCAAAAAAGAAAGAAAGAAAGAAAAAAGAAACAATAACTTGACTTCTATATTTCGACATAAGGTGTATAAATTATCAATTTTGTTTTAAGTATCTTCTAATTAAGTAATGTTTTGCGAATATTCATAGTGATATACAAATATAACAATATAATTTCCAACCAACTCCTGAAGATAAGTTACATTGAGGATGTATCATTAAAAACACTATTCCTTTCGGAAACGAATCAACCTCTCCCCTGAAGAGAAATTAAATGTCGGAGACAGGGTGTAGTGATAAACAGGGGTCACCAGGTGAAAAGTAAGAGATAAAATACTACACAATTGATGAGGATTTCCGAGTTACAGTATAACAGTGACTGAGATTAAGAGGGATATTATTCCAGAGCTTTCCTTACAGACAATTTAGTATTAATCATTGGCTTGATCCGGTAATTAAATACTCATCTCACAGAGAGTTAAGATCTGGAATCCAAGGAGCAAAAATTAATTTCAAATGTTTAAAGAAACGCCCAAAAGGGATGATTTTTGTTAACTCTTTAAGAAAGAGATTTAGCCCTAGCTTTCATGACAAGTAATTGTTTTAGGAAAACATTCTAGTTTTAAGGTTCTCCTCAACTGAGCTCAAATAGAATGAATTGATATAAGATGAACTGTCCTGGGCTAATATATAACAATTACCGTTGTAATTGTCAGGCTACTTGCATTAAATGATTAATGTATATCCTAGAGTTATGACATTGTTCTTCTGAGGAAGTATTTCCGATTTATCAAGTTTAATATGTCCACTTCCCCCTGCTTCCTGTGAACGTGACATTGTGGTACTGACATTCAAATTAGACAAAGGACGAACGAAAAGTCTTTTTCTGTTGTCAAAATGTAATTCTAATGAAATCTGTAGGTTATGATTGATGGAAAGACAGTCACCCTGAAGCTCCTGTTTCTATAATAGTCCTGGTACATATCGGTATGCAGAAACTGAGAATATAATCGTCTTTAAAGACTTAAGAGAGATTATAATGAGAATTCGAAGGATGATCATTATGTGTGAAAACTCTTTGAATTATCCTTAAACTGGTGGCTCTTATATAAATCTTCTGACCTTGTTATTTTACTGTTAAACGTTCTGCAAAACGAATTACTCACCTCATCATAAAACTTAAAGAACTGGACAGTAGCCAACACCTCAGCACCAGAGATCATCACCAGAAAGAACAAAAACTGGAAATAATCAGTCACATGTTATATTGCCTTTATATCAGTGAGTTACACACATTGTTACTAATGATCACAGGTAATGAGGTCTATGTTTTACCTGCATTATTATGTCCTTTTTGATACACATCAGTTACCGATAAATTAAAACACAGGTAATAAGGAATATGATATAATGAAATATCTACCAGTAGGATGACGCCTTTTCTTTCATTGACTCCTCCAATACACCCAATGATCCCGTTGAAGGTGGACGCCACTCCAGCTGATATGTAGATAATGGCGGAGATCTGGAACTTTCCGATCTCTAGAATAGGATCGTAAGACTGTAGAGTAATATACTGCCAGATAGAGACACCAAGCAGAGCTGGACCTGCAAACTGTAAAATAAGTAATATACTGCCAGATAGAGACACCAAGCAGAGCTGGACCTGCAAACTGTAAAATAAGCTTATTTTATATTCTTTATTCAAGTAGTTAATTTAAAAAAAGATTCTTTAGGCATTTTTAATCAATGTATTTTTTTTATTTTTATAAATATTATACTTAATTTAATATTTCTGAATGTTTTCAACATTTTAACTTTACGACTAATACGGGGTCTGTTGGTTTCCAAATGTTTTAAGACGTCGACATGGTTAAGTTAGCTGACAATATTGTTCATATTTACTTAAGAATAATAATTTCCCGAAAAATTTCTCTTTAATTTGAGACTTTATCGTATTATCAGGCTTCACGTGTGTTGATTTGAAAACAAAGATTGCATGAGTATTTATTTCAAAAGACAGAATTAACACACACAGCATCTTTCAGATGAATAGCGGGATCTTGTTAAAAGACAAAGCATCAACGTTGCATGAAACCTATATATAATTCATCGATCAATTCTTCAATTTATCTAATTTCGTAGCATATCACTTCTTGTGATATATTTCAGCTTGGGCCCTTCCTTATTCTACCCGTCTATTTACTTTTAACTTATTTAGTGATAATGTTATGACGTCATAATAGAGAGGTTAATTCATGTAACCCACCCACTCTATTTAACAATGTATTTGTTTTGTAATGCTTCATATAAATAATATTATATTTAACTTTTATTGACACCGTGCAATAATTGTCGTGCTGAAATATTAGATAGTATCTTAACACATTCGTTTGTATTACAAATGGATACTCCAGGGACAATCCCAGATGACTGAAGAACAGAAGGATCTAATGGAAGAATTGAACATTGACCTTATCTAGAAGTACCAGTCACTTTATAAAAATCAACAAACAAACAAACAACAACAACAAGAACAAAAAACAAACAAAAACAGAAACAAAAAAAAAAATAATAATAATAAAAAATAAAAAATAAAATAAAATAAATAAATAAATAAAAAAAAAAACCTAAACAAATTTTGTCGTTTTGATTCATTTTAGTGAATAGCTTTACAGTAAAGATTGTACAATATTCTTTCTTTTGTAGTATTCTTAAACAAAAGGAATCTTCAGCTGTAATATATTTGAAGGGCATGTTTCAGATAATTAGGTATCTTCCCAGGTGTTCGGAGGCTGGTGTAAGGTTCCTTAGTTTATTTCGGTTACATCGCACTATTGCCGATTAGTCCTCACACAAAACACAAAACATTAACCTTTTGTTTCCTAAACACTGTGTGCTTAAGATGTCTGCATGTTTTGATTCATTTTATTTGTTTTTGAAAACTTCAGATGTAAATGTTTTAAATAAAAGCACAAAACATGTTATTTTAGTAAGAGAATACCAAATTAACCACGACCGTAAGGTAAAAAGGCCCTCAAGATGTCACGCCCAAAGGTTCTGTATAACTTGATAGTTAAGTTACAGGTTAAAGGGTCTTGTATACTTTTTGCTACTATTATCCCAAAGGAAAAAAGATATTTTTCAATTCCCACGCTTTGTTGCTGAAACATATCATTTACGTCAAAATCTTATTTGATTTTATGAATGATAACCTTTGATGGGTTTAATAATTAATAGCATGTTAATAATTCCAATTTCTTTTGCAATATTGAACCATTAAATAGTTATTAAAAACTTACTAATTCATAAATATTGAACAATTACGATACTTATGTGCATTATTTGAATAATGATTTACTTGTCTCGTTTCACCGTAAAGCAATGAGTGAACTGAAAATACTTTGTTATTTTATTGTATCAAAATAAAAAAAAATACTTAAAGAAAAATTCGAATTTTCTTTAAGGCATCATTACAACGTATAGTTACTAAATTTATAAGAGAAAGTGAATTAACTTAAAGATATATTTTGACTATAATTATCAATATTTCTCGTAAAATTTATTATTAATGTATAAAACGAAATAAAAAAAAAACATGGACGATATGTAGAAATTTACGTTAGGTAAATTAAAACAATTTTTAAACAAACTTTATCAAACTTCTTGATTTGATATGACTAGAAAACATTAGGTTGTACATTAATAGAAGAAATTCTTTGAGACATTTAACTATATGTTGTTTGTAAGTCAAATTTCTTACCCAGAGTACCGTGTTAAAAATAATGAAAATCTTTTTCATTCGGTAAAAAGAACAACAGCACCCCATGTCTCTGAATTGTTAGTCATGCTGTCCCTCTGATGAAAGTGACGACAACAACACCAGCACCAAACTGTTTCCAATCTTCTTTTTTTTTCTTTGGACAAACAATTTACCCCTTCGTCCTCTCTAGTCTCCTGCACTTCTAAGTTGAGGTCTAAATTTTCATCAACCTGACTAATTTAGGCTGTTATCTGCTTCCCTACCCCGTAAGTGCTAACCAAATTGATTTGATCACTTAAATTCCAATAGTTTATAGGCAGCCGGTCAGAACAACAGAGATAGGAATAGAGCGAAGCCCAGAGACACGTCTGAGAAGACGGAATCTGACGGGCCAGAACAGTAGGGTTGATAGGTAACTTAATTAAAATGTGACGGTTATCTTTCACAGGTATGCCATTATACAAAACTCTGTGTAAATACTTCAACGTTTGACCACGTAATGTCTCTAATCGTTATATACAGGGTACCTTTTTCGAGACACTCTATTATTTAGATAACGTCTATCAAAAGTAATAGGTGATCTGAAGTAATTTATTATACTAGACTTTGTGTATTCCGTAGAAAACATGCATCGGTGAAATGGGCTTTACAAAGTTATTATCGATTAGATAGATACAAGTGCGATATTTCACTTAAATTCGCATTTTTTAAGCAAACTTTTAATATTGGACAGTACACAAAAAATAAAATTTTGTTATTTATAACACCAAAGACACATAAAGAGGCGCCTTTCTAGGCATATATTTCTTTTTCATTTGAATTTCATATAATGTGAAGTACGAAGGACACCTGCTCCAGCAAAAAGAATAACTAAATGTTAAGCACAAAGCCCGGGTGCAGAAGGAGGTTGATTATATATATTATGTATGTAATGAATCTGTCGTGAGAGACGCCAGTGTTCTTTGTTTCCCTGTTAGTGTTAGTGTCTCACCATGATTGTGATGATGAAGTATATGGGTGCATTCTTGTTTATTGAAAAAACCCAAAATAATTGTTTTGTGTTCAAAATTTAACAAGATTAATCAAAAGTCGTAGGTTGAAAATCAATGTATAGAAACTTTGTGAACTTAAATGTAGAATATACTAAGGAACAATGCATCAAATTTTGTGCAACAAATGAATCCTGCAAAACAATTTATTAATAGTAATATTTTTAATATTATTTTAATTTATACTCAAACAAATTACAAATTTCGTGTGAAGAGCAAAATTTTTCCACCACAAAACAGTCCTTTGACAGAGATGTACGACTTGTAGATCTAATGGTGGAATGGTCACTGTTTGCTAGACTAAATATTATGACAGAGATGTACGACTTGTAGATCTAATGGTGGAATGGTCACTGTTTGCTAGACTAAATATTATGACAGAGATGTACGTCTTGTAGTTCTAATGGTGGAATGGTCACTGTTTGCTAGACTAAATATTATGACAGAGATGTACGTCTTGTAGTTCTAATGGTGGAATGGTCACTGTTTGCTAGACTAAATATTATGACAGAGATGTACGACTTGTAGATCTAATGGTGGAATGGTCACTGTTTGCTAGACTAAATATTATGACAGAGATGTACGACTTGTAGATCTAATGGTGGAATGGTCACTGTTTGCTAGACTAAATATTATGACAGAGATGTACGTCTTGTAGTTCTAATGGTGGAATGGTCACTGTTTGCTAGACTAAATATTATAATTATAAACATTTATTTGTATTAAGGCCTTTTACCTTTCAAAATTAATCATGAAATTAATCTTAAAAATATATAATATTTACGAAAACAGTATTTAGCATTGTGTGTTTTATAACCTATGATGTTTTATAATCCTGTAAATATGAAAACAACCATAAACCATCTTTGTATGGTAGAAGTGTTATATGTTATATTTATATCAGTAAGCTCTCTTCATTTCAAAAGTTGCGTAAGATTTTACATGATAAGGCAAAGAAAATATTTATGAAAACAATATTTAGCATTGGGTGTTTTATCGTCTTCGAAGTTTTATAATTATAATCCTGTCAACATGAATTTAAAAAAACCACAAACCATCTTATGACGGTAGATGTGATTTTTAAAATATAAAAAAAGAAAGCAATTTAGGCATGTCCATCGGTCCTCCTTCTACATACAAATTTGATGTCAGAATTTTGAAGAAATTTTAACCTTGCAAAGTCTAACGGTTCTCAAAATGCTTGAGGCTTTCAAACCTGTTAACCTACAAGAAATACAGCAAATGTGATGTGCTCAGTAAAGATAAAGAACATTTACTAGACAGACAGGCGAATTTTTTTCTAAATAGTTAATGTCATGATGAAACTGAAAATTGCAATATTTCAAGTCTCCGATTTCAAGAGGATGAGTAATAAAGTTAATTTAAATGTATTAAGGTGACCTCGTAATTCTAAGTAATATTTAATGTTTGGAAGAAATCCAGAGTATAGGTCTAAATTTTAAGTTAATTTACTGGCATCTGGTGATGACTCATATGAGTGAAATAATCTTGCAAGGGACGTCAAACAACAACAAACAGAAAAGTAAATATAAAGGAAATAAACCCATTTTTCACAAAACACTAAAACAAACGTGCTCGACCATCAAGTTTCATATATTTGTCGAAACATTATCAGGGTTAGGGTTATTCTTTTAATGAATGTTAGAAGTTTTGAAAAAAAAAATGTCAGTCCCACATCAAGTACTCCATTCCGTACACAAGGAGAATACTGGATCAAAGAACTAGGCACAGCCTCACCGTTACAACGACCACATAAATAATGTAGGGAATCTTTCAAGCCCACAATTTGCTCAGACTTTTTAACAATAAACCAAGATGTAGACGTAGTCATAGACATAGATCTTACAATAGATAAATTGATTGATTGTACATGTATGTTGTTTTGTGTCCCATTCGAGCAATAGACCAAATATACAAAAGGTCACTTTTGATTCACTTTTGCGACAATGCTTCATAATAGATCATCACATTTGCACTAAACTTTACTCGGTTCCCTTGAAATTTTTGAATGGACTACTTGAAGAAGCTAAAGCAAGTCCATACTTAGATTCTTCAAATGCAGAATACAAGCTAGTGTTTGTGATTATGGAGGTTGCCCATCACAGGTTTTTAAAACCACAACATGTTTCAGAAGATAATCTAACTCACTCAGTCGGTTACTTAAAAATTTGCTAACAAAGGAATAGATGCTGTTTAAATTAGTAATATAAAAAAGTTAAATTTTACATTCCACCATATTTCAAGTTGAAGTCTACAACCTGCAGACATACCCAGACTTTTCAGCTGTAAACAAAACCCTGCAGTGCCTAGATATTGAACACCTGAAACAAAATCCTCTAAACTGTTCTTGCTCTTTTTTCAACAGTTTCGCCGGACTTGTAATTACCAGAGATGTTAATATCGGTGAAATTGATGACCTTAAACATTTATCTTAAAAGATCCTAAATACAGGAAGCCCCGATCTTTCAGTTAGCGACAGAACTTCATTTTTATAATGAATTCTATCGAAAATTATACCAGAACTTGGGCTAAATATGAAAGGGAAGACCTGAACACTTTGACAGAATGGATTAAGTGTTCAAAAAATATATTAAAGAACCGTATTGGAAAGTTAAAAGGCAATTTCGAACCATCTATCATTTCGTTTTCCCTAAATCGGAGTTGATAAAAGAATTAGAGAGAATAAATGAACAATATGTTATGGTTCAAGCTGACAAGGTTTGTAAAAAATATCGTCTTTGTTTGTAAGGCTCAATTTTACCTGTAAAATATTTTTAAAATAACTGTATTTTAGAAGAACTTGGTTTTAATTCTATCTGGAAATCCAACTTATACTCACAGTTCACTTTTCAAGGATGAAATTCTTTGAAATCATATCTCAGTGTTTAGTTCATTTCACATTCCAGTCAACCAAGGTGAGTTCGATCTACCCTACCTAAATTGAATTCCTAAACTTCAAAAAATCGTCACAAAGATACCTTGCAGGGTCCAGCAAATACCAAGCCCCTTTCTGTACTCTTTTCAAAAATATAAACCGCTGCAAAGAGAAATTTCAGACATACTTTGCTACAGCATATTATAGAAGTGGTGTAAATCAGGTGTAGATTCTCAAAAACTCCAAAGAACTTTTAGAAAATCTACAATCATCAAAATTTCCTTAAGTAAGTGACACCAAAAGGTACGACTTTTCTACACTTCATACAAGTCGTCCGCGTGGGACATTGGTTAGAGCGTTTACTCTAGAGTCGCAGAGTAAGGACACACCCTAACGTCGCGGATTCGAATCCTACTGCGGGACGTGGAGACTGGTCCTTGGGATAAGGAACACTTTTAGAAACACTTTATACATCAATCCCTCCATCATCAACAAAATTACTTTGTTATAAATCACTGATTCTACACAAAAGTACTCTAAAGTTGATATTAAAAGAATGCTGGAATTCCTCATTGACAACATTTATGTAGTCTTCGGAGATCAGGTCTTCAAAAAATCTGTCGGAATTTTCATGGGCTCTAATTGAGCTCCATTTATTAGCCGACTTGTTTTTATATTCCTATGAAGCAGAATTTATCCAAAAACTTCTACAAGAGAAGAAAAAACACTCACTGTGGCCTTCAACTCGACATTTAGATATATCGACGACGTTTTATAAATTAACAACAGTTACTTCCATTCATATGTCGACTGGATATATCCCAGTGAATTTGAAATAAAAAAAACCCCACAAAGTTTGTTACATCTATTCCATATTTGGATGTTTTACTGATTATAGGACAAACTTACAACTAAATACTTCATATTGCAATAACATAACTTAACAGAACTCTGTTAGCTGGGGGCAATGTGCTGTTGAATACAACACAAGATCAATCATTTTGGATTTTATAAGGATAGATAAGATAGAAGTCCTGGTTAAATATCTTCCTGAACTACCGCTGAACCCCGCTAATAAAACAAAAGGAGATAGTCCTCATGTTTTACATTTTTTATGATAC